GGAAAAGGGGCGGCAAGGGGGCGGGGGTGGGGGGGGGGGGGGGGGGGTCTGGGCCGCTTCGAGGTGGCTTTGGGGACACCCCGGTGACCGCTGTGGTGGCCCCCGAGCAGGACCTTCGCGCCTCTCTGGGAGGTTTTCCGCATCTCCTCGGAGAAGCTGGCGCTGTGCCACCTGGAGCTGATGAAGAAGCTGCACGACCTCATCAAGGAGATCTCGCGCTACGGCGAGGAGCAAGGCCGCGTGCACAAGAAGGTAGCGCTGTCCCCTCCCCGGGGCTGTCCCCTCCCCCGGCGTGCCCTGCCCACGGCCGCTGTGTCCCCGCAGTCCAAGGAGGAGGTGTCGGGGACGCTGGAGGCCGTGCAGCTGCTGCACGGCGTGGCCCAGCTGCTGCCCAAGTCCAAGGAGAGCTACCACAGCAAGTGCCAGGAGTACGAGCGGCTGCGCAAGGAGGGCACCAGCCAGAAGGAGATCGACAAGGTGCCACCCCCGGTGTCACTGGGACGCCCCCCCCTCAGCGGTCCTCGTGTCCCCCTGGGTGGCCCCTGGCTCCTCTTGGTGGTTCTTGTCCTTTCCTTGGTGGTCTCTGGCCCCTCGTGGTGGTTCTTGTTCCTCCTCTCTGCGGTCTCTGTCACCCCCTGTGTCACCTCTCTCAGTGGTCTGTGTCCCCTCCCTGGTGATTCTTGACCCTCCCTCGATGGTCCTATTGTCCCACAATGGTCCCTGTCCCCTCCCTGATGGTTCCTGTCCTTGTCCTGGCTGTCCCCTGTCCTGTTCCTGACTATCCCTCTCCTTGTCCTGGCTGTCCCCTGTCTCCTGGTTGTCCCCTGGCTGTCCTCTGTCCCATTCCTGATGGTTCCTGTCCTTGTCCCAGCTATCCCTTGTCCCCCTGGGTGGTCTCTGTCCCATTCCTGATGATCCCTGTCCTTGTCTCGGCTGTCCCCTGTCCTGTTCCTGACGATTCCTCTCATTCCCCTGGCTGTCCCTTGTCCCCTCCCTGATGATCCCTGTCCTTGTCCCGGCTGTCCCCTGGCTGTCCCTTGTCCCCTCCCTGATGATCCCTGTCCTTGTCCCGGCTGTCCCCGGCTGTCTCCTGGCTGTCCCTTGTCCCCTCCCTGATGATCCCTGTCCTTGTCCTGGCTGTCCCCCGGCTGTCCCCGGCTGTCCCCTGGCTGTCCCTTGTCCCCTCCCTGATGATCCCTGTCCTTGTCCTGGCTGTCCCTTGTCCCCTCCCTGATGATCCCTGTCCTTGTCCCCGCTGTCCCCGGCTGTCCCCGTGCCCGGCGGTGGCGCAGGCGGAGCTGAAGTCGCGCAAGGCGGGCGAGGCGCTGCGGAGGGCGGTGGACAAATACAACGCTGCCCGCGCCGACTTCGAGCAGCGCATGCTGGACTCGGCCATGGTGGGCACGGCTGGCACCTGGGGAGAGGGGTGGGAACTGATGGGATTCGGGAAAGGGATGGGCATGGGGGCATGTGGGCAGGGATGGGCACGGCTGGGAATTGGGAGGGGATGGGAACTGATGGGAACTGGGAAAGAGATGGACATTGATGGGAGTTGGGAAAGGGATGGGCATTGATGGGAGTTGGGAAAGGGATGGGCATTGATGGGAGTTGGGAAAGGGATGGGCATTGATAGGATGTGGGCAGGGATGGGCATGGGGGCATGTGGGCAGGGATGGGCACGGCTGGGAATTGGGAAGGCATGGGAACTGATGGGATTTGGGAAAGGCATGGGCACGGCTTGGAATTGGGTGTGGTTGGGAATTGGTGGAATTTGGGAAGAAATGGGATCCCTGGGGAAATCCCACCCATGCCAACCCCCCTTCCCTGCCCACCTGGGGACATCCCCCCCATCCCAAACTCCTTCCACATCCACCTGGGGACATCCCACCTATCCAAGTCCCCTTTCATATCCACCTGCCCCCCTGGGGACATCCCACCCATCCCAACCCCCCTTCCCTGCCCACCTGGGGACATCCCCCCCATCCCAAACTCCTTCCACATCCACCTGGGGACATCCCACCTATCCAAGTCCCCTTTCATATCCACCTGCCCCCCTGGGGACATCCCACCCATCCCAACCCCCCTTCCCTGCCCACCTGGGGACATCCCCCCCATCCCAAACTCCTTCCACATCCACCTGGGGACATCCCACCTATCCAAGTCCCCTTTCATATCCACCTGCCCCCCTGGGGACATCCCACCCATCCCAACCCCCCTTCCCTGCCCACCTGGGGACATCCCCCCCATCCCAAACTCCTTCCACATCCACCTGGGGACATCCCACCTATCCAAGTCCCCTTTCATATCCACCTGCCCCCCTGGGGACATCCCACCCATCCCAAACTCCTTCCACATCCACCTGGGGACATCCCACCTATCCAAGTCCCCTTTCATATCCACCTGCCCACCTGGGGACATCCCACCCATCCCAAACTCCTTCCCTGCCCACCTGGGGACATCCCACCCATCCCAAACTCCTTCCCTGCCCACCTGGGGACATCCCACCCATGCCAACCCCCCTTCCCTGCCCACCTGCCGATCCCTGGGGATGTCCCCCCATTCCTGCCCCCCGTTTTTCCCGCTCCAGCGCTTCCAGGAGGTGGAGGAGGCCCACCTGCGGCACATGAAGGGGCTCATCGGCTCCTACTCGCACTCCGTGGAGGACACCCACGTCCAGATCGGCCAGGTGAGTCCCCAGGTGAGTGACCCCTCCCCATCCCCCTTTTGTCCCCTTTATTCCATGTCCCCTTCCCTTTTTCCACCCCCAGGTCCACGAGGAGTTCAAGCAGAACGTGGAGAACATCGGCACGGAGATGCTGCTGCGGAGGTTTGCCGAGAGCAAGGGCACGGGCAGAGAGCGGCCAGGTGAGCCTGGGGGTCCCACCTGGATCCCTGATCCCGGCTGATCCCGGCTGATCCCAGCTGATCCCAGCTGATCCCGGCTGATCCCAGCTGATCCCAGGCTGATCTGATCCCGAGTTGATCATGGCTGATCCCACGTTGATCCCAGCTGGTCCTGGGTTGATCCCAGGCTGATCCCAGCTGATCCCAGGCTGATCTGATCCCGAGTTGATCATGGCTGATCCCACGTTGATCCCAGCTGGTCCTGGGTTGATCCCAGGCTGATCCCAGGCTGATCACAAGTTGTTCCCGGTTGATCCTGGCTTGATCCCAGCTTGATCCTGGGTTGATCTCGGCTTGATCCTGGCTTGATCCCATGCTGATCCCAGGTTGATCCTGGGCTGATCCTGGCTGATCTTGGGTTGATTCCAGTTGATCTTGGACTGATCCTGGCTTGATGGTGGCTGATCCTGTACTGATCCTGGGTTGATCCCAGCTGATCCTCTGCTGCTCGTGGGCTGATCCCGGGTTGATCCCGGGTTGATCCTGGGCTGATCCCAGGTTGATCCCGGGTTGATCTGGGCTGATCCCGGGCTGATCCTGGGTTGATCCTGGGCTGATCCTGGGTTGATCCCGGGTTGATCCTGGGTTGATCCCGGCTGATCTTGTATTGATCCCGGGTTGATCCTGGGCTGATCCCAGGTTGATCCCGGGTTGATCTGGGTTGATCCTGGGCTGATCCTGGGTTGATCCCGGGTTGATCCTGGGTTGATCCCGGCTGATCTTGTATTGATCCCGGGTTGATCCTGGGCTGATCCCAGGTTGATCCCGGGTTGATCTGGGTTGATCCTGGGCTGATCCTGGGTTGATCCCGGGTTGATCCTGGGTTGATCCCGGCTGATCTTGTATTGATCCTCCTGGGCTGATCCCGGCTGATCGTGTATTGATCTTGGGTTGATCCTGGGCTGATCCTGGGCTGATCCCAGCTGATCTTGTATTGATCCTGGGCTGATCCTGTCTGATCTTGTGTTGATGCTGGGTTGATCCTGGGCTGATCCTGTCTGATCTTGTGTTGATCCTGGGTTGATCCGGGCTGATCCCTCTCTCCGTGGCAGGAGCGTTGGATTTCGACGAGTACCGGCTGGCTCCAGCGCAGGAAGGCAAGTACGTCTGCACCCAGCTGGGGGGGCCGGGGGCTGCGGAGACCCTTCCTCACCCCGCTCCCGCTTTCCCCAGGACCCAAGAGGAGCCGGAGCAAAGCGTTCCGGATCCCGGGCTTGAGCCGTAAGGAGCGGGAGCGTGACGCTGTGTAAGAGCCTCAGTCCCGGCATCCCGGAGTTCCTGCATCCCGGCATTCCCACATTCCACATCCCTGCATCCCTGCGTGGTTTTATCCCTGAATTCCTGCATCCCTGCACCCCAGCATTCCTGCATCCCTGCATTGTTTCATCCCTGAATTGCCACACCCCTCAATTCCCACATCCCTGCATCCCTGAATTCCCACATCCCTGCATTCCCACATCCCTGCATTCCCACATCCCTGCATTCCCACATCGCTGAATTCCCATATCCCTGCATCCCCACATCCCTGAATTCCCATATCCCCGCATCCCTGAATTCCCATATCCCCACATCCCTGAATTCTCCCATCCCTGAATTCCCGAATTTCCACTTTCCCACATCCCTGAATTCCCATATCCCTGCATTCCCACGTCCCTGAATTCCCATATCCCCACATCCCTGAATTCCCCCATCCCTGAATTCCCCCTCCCTGAATTCCCACATCCCTGAATTTCCATTTTCCCACATCCCTGAATTCCCCATCCCTTCGTCCCTGAATTCCCCCATCCCTTCGTCCCTGAATTCCCCCATCCCTGAATTCCCACATCCCTGAATTCCCCATCCCTTCATCCCTGAATTCTCCCATCCCTGAATTCCCCATCCCTGCATCCCTGAAGTCTCCCATCCCTGAATTCCCCATCCCTGCATCCCTGAATTCTCCCATCCCTGAATTCCCCATCCCTGCATCCCTGAATTCTCCCATCCCTGAATTCCCCATCCCTGCATCCCTGAATTCCCCCATCCCTGCATCCCACCCCCCTTCCCCCTCCGCCGCCTGACTCTCCCGGTCATTCCCAGGGAATCTCCGGATAACGACCTGGTGAGTGTCCCGGTGCCCCGCCCTGGCGCTGCCGTTCCCAGACTGGGAGCGCTGGGAATGTCGGGGGTGTCCCCGCAGGGCGGCCCCGAGGTGGACGAGGACGGATTCACCGTGCGGCCGGACAGTGCCCGCAGTATCCTTGGATGAGCGGGAAAATTGGGGATCCAGGGGGAATTCTGAGCGGGAATTCGGGGGATTCAAGGGGAATTCGGGGGGTTCAAGGCGAATTCCAAATGGGGAATTTGGGATCCGGGGGAATTCTGAGTGGGAATTCGGGGGATTCAAGGGGAATTCGGGGGATTCAAGGGGAATTCCAAATGGGGAATTTGGGATCCGGGGGAATTCTGAGTGGGAATTTGGGGGATTCAAGGGGAATTCGGGGGATTCAAGGGGAATTCCAAATGGGGAATTTGGGATCCAGGGGAATTCTGAGTGGGAATTTGGGATCCTGGGGAATTCTGAGTGGGGATTTGGGGGATTCAAGGGGAATTACACCTGGGGATTTGGGGATCCAGGGGGAATTCTGAGTGGAGATTTTGGGGGATCCAGGGAGAATTTCAGCTGGGGAATTTGGGGATCCAGGGGGAATTCTGACTGGGGATTCTTGGGGATCCAGAGGGAATTCTGAGCAGGCATTTTGGGGATCCAAGGGAATTCCAGCTAGGCATTTTTGGGGGATCCAGGGAGAATTCCAACTGGGGATTTTTGGGGGATCCAAGGGGAATTCCAGCCGGGGATTTTTGGGGTATCCAAAGGGAATTCCAAGCAAGGATTTTTGGGGGATCCAGGGTAATTCCAGGCGGGCATTGCCTTGACGGGGTTCCAGGCGAGGTGGAGAATCCCGGCTGCTCCTCCAGCGACTCCGACTACGACGAGGACGAGCCGCGCAAATTTTACGTCCACATCAAACCGGTGCAGCCGCGGGAGGCTCCCGGCAGCGCCGAGGCCACCGTGGAGCAGCTCAAGGCCACCGTGGGAAATCTCATCCTGGCCCCCGGCGTCGGGGTGAGCCTGGGGGGCCGCGGGGACCCCCCGGAATTCCCGGGGTCACCTCACCCCTGTCCCCTTCTCTTGCAGGGCACCGTCAGGAGGCAGGCGTCCCGTAAGTGGCACTGCGGGCGGGTGGTGGCCTGGGGAGGGTGGCACTGAGGCTGAGAGCCACTGCTTGGGGACATCCCATCCTCCTGAGCCCCTTCCCTGGGGACATCACACCCTTCCTGAGCCTCTTCCTTGGGGACATCCCATCGTTCCTGAGCCCCTTCCTTGGGGACAATGCCACCCTTCCTGAGTCGCCTTTGTTGGGGACATCCCATCATTCCTGAGCCCCCTTACTTGGAGACAGTGCCACACTTTCTTAAACCCAATCCTTGGGGACATGCCATCCTTCCTGAGCCCCTTCCTTGGGGACATGCCATCCTTCCTGAGCCCCTTCCTTGGGGACATCCCATCGTTCCTGAGCCCCTTCCTTGGGGACAATGCCACCCTTCCTGAGTCCCCTTTGTTGGGGACATCCCATCATTCCTGAGCCCCCTTACTTGGCGACAGTGCCACACTTCCTTAAACCCAATCCTTGGGGACATGCCATCCTTCCTGAGCCCCTTCCTTGGGGACAGTGCCACCCTTCCTTAAACCTAGTCCCTGGGGACAGTGCCACCTTCCCTGAGCCCCATTCCATGTCTGCTTGCCGACCCCTGGGGACACCCCACCCTTCCTGAGCCACCCCGGAGTCCCCGTGGCTCCGTGTCCCCTCACGGTGACATCCCCCCGCAGGGCACACGGCGTCCCTGACCCCAGCCTGCAGTGACACGGACCCCGAGGGGACGCTGGCGGCCGGTGAGACTGGGCGGGGGGTCCTGAGGATTTGGGGGGCACCTGAGGGGTCCTGTGGGGGGTGCAGTGCAGTGTCCCCTCTCCCCGCAGGTGACAGCACGGGGAGGGGTCTCCCGGCGGCGCAGGTGAACAGGTAGGGGACAGGGAGGGATTGGGGCGCCATGAGGGGGCACCCCCCATCCCTGGGGGGTCCCGGGCAGGCTCTGAGCCCCCCCACTCTGTCCCTGTCCCAGCGGCCCCGGGAAGCCCCCCCAGGATACGCCACCCTCGGCCGCACTCTTCGGGCCCCCCCTGGAGTCGGCGTTGGAGGCAGAGGAATTCCCGGGTGAGGATTTGGGGGGCGCGGGACGGGACCCACCGGCGGGGCGGGGGCCGCGCTCTGACCGGGGCCGTCCCGCAGCCCCCCGCTCCTACGTCCTCACCTCGTCCTCGTCTCCCTTCTCCTCCTCGTCCCCGGAGAACGTGGAGGACTCGGGGCTGGACTCGCCCTCGCACCCCGCTCCCGGTCCCTCCCCGGACTCCCGGCCCTGGACCCCGCAGCCGGGGACGCCGCAGAGCCCCGGCCCCAAAGCGGAGCCGCCCCCCGCCAGCAGCGCCTGGACCCCGCGGCCCCGCAGCCCCTCCGGCCGCCTCCCCGAGCCCCCCAACTTCGCCGTTTTCAGCGGCCCCGGAGCCGAGGGGCTCTGGGGGGACGCGGGGGTCGCGCCCCGGGGTCGCAGCCGCTGCCTCAGCGGCCCCGCCCCACGAGAAGCGCCCTCGCCGGACCCTTTTGGGGACCCCCCGGCCTGGGGCAGACCCCGCAGCCCCGGTGGGGAGCAGCCCCCCCTGACGCGTCCTTCCTCCAACTCGGCCTCCTCGTCGTCCTCCTCGCCGGCCCCCCCGAGCGGGGGGGAGTCCTCCAGCCCCTCTCCCTGGGGCTGCCAAGGGCCGGGGGCCCGGCTGGGCGAGGGGGGCACGGCCGGGACCCCCCCGCTGCCGTCGGAGCCGGGTGAGTGGTGGGGGAGCGGCCCCAGGGTACCCCAAAACGTGACTGCCACAGCCCCCAGCTCTGCCCCCGATATCCTTAACCCTGCCCCCCCACTGCCTCTAAATATGCCCCCATCACCCCAAATTCTGTCCCGAGTGACCCCAAACTGTGCCCCCACGACCCCAAACTCTGTCCTGAGTGACCCCAGGCTCTGTCCCCCATTACCCTTAACCCTGCCCCCATTACCTCTAAATCTGACCCCCAAACTGTGCCCCCCCAATTAGCCTGAACTGTGGGATTTGGGGTGTGGGAATTTGGGGATGCAGGAATTCAGGGGCGCGGGATGCAGGGATGTGGAATTTGGGAGTTCAGGGGTGGGGCATGCAGGATTTGGGAATTCGGGGATCGAGGATGTGGGAATGCAGGGATGCAGGATTTTGGGAATGCAGGGGTACACGGGGATGCAGGGGTGTGGAATTTGGGGATGCAGAGATGTGGAATTGGGGGTGCAGGGGTATGGAATTGGGGGTGCAGGGGTGTGGAATTGGGGGGTGCATGGCTGCAGACCCCCACCCCAGCCCGCCTTGCCTCGGCAGTCGCGCTCGCTGAGCCCCTCGCCCTCCTGGAGCTGCGGCCCCTCGCACTCGGCCCCCGCCAGCCTGGGCGAGCGCGGCTTCTTCGCCGTGGCCCCGCCGGCGCTCGGTGCGTGCCGGGGGCATCCTGGGGGGGTGGGCTGGGGGTCCCAGCCTTGCGCTGACCCCTCTGCCCCCTCGCCAGGGCTGTCGCGCGGTCCCAGCCCCGTGGTGCTGGGCTCGCAGGACGCGCTGCCCGTGGCCACCGCCTTCACCGAGTACGTCCACGCTTATTTCAAGGGGCGCGACGCCGACAGGTACGGGCTTGGGGAGGGGGTCCCGGGGGGTCCCCGCAGCCGCCGGGCGTCCCCTGAGCCCCGGCGTGTCCCCAGCAGCTGCCTGGTGAAGGTGACCGGGGAGCTGACCATGTCCTTCCCCGCGGGCATCGTGCGGGTGTTCGGCGGCCCCGCGGCGCCGCCCGTGCTCAGCTTCCGCCTGCTCAACGCCGCCGCCATCGAGCAGTTCCTGCCCAACGCCGAGCTGCTCTACAGGTGCGGGGCACCGGGGACACCGGGGCACCGGGGGGACAGCCTGCGAGGTGCGGGGGGCACCGGTGCGGGGCTGGTGTTGGGGTACAGGGGGTGGTTGGGGGGTACGGGGAGCTTGGGAGGGGATGGATGTGGGGATGGGGGTGGGTTTTGGGGTACAGGAGAGACACGGGGAGCTTGGGAAGTGTGGGTGCAGTGATGTGGGATGGGTTTTGGGGTACAGGAGGGGCATGGGGAGCTTGGGAGGTGATGGATGCAACAAAGGGGGCAGATTTTGGGGTACAGAAGAGACACGGGGAGCTTGGGAGGGGATGCAGGTGGGTTTTGGGGTGCAGGAGAGACACGGGGACCTTGGGAGGGGATGGATGCAGGGATAGAGGGCGATTTTGGGGTGCAGAGGGTGTCTGGGGGTTACGGGGAGCTTGGGAAGTGTGGGTGCAGTGATGTGGGGTGGGTTTTGGGGTGCAGGAGGGGCATAGGGACCTTGGGAGGTGGTGGATGTGGGGATGAGGGTGGGTTTTGGGGTACGGAGTGCCCCAGTTTTCCTGGGGATACCCTCAGGAGCTGTGGGATGCAGCGATGGGGAGCTGGGCATTGAGATTTTGGGGTTTTTGGGTGTCTGGGAATGCAGTGATGGGGAGCTGGGCGTTGAGATTTTGGGGTTTTTGGGGATCTGGGAGTGCAGTGATGGGGGCTGGGTGTTGAGATTTTGGGATTCTTGGGGGTTTGGGCATGCAGTGATGGGGAGCTGGGTGTTGAGATTTTGGGGTTTTTGGGGATCTGGGCATGCAGCGATGGGGAGCTGGGCATTGAGATTTTGGGGTTTTTGGGTGTCTGGGAATGCAGTGATGGGGAGCTGGGCGTTGAGATTTTGGGGTTTTTGGGGATCTGGGCATGCAGCGATGGGGAGCTGGGCATTGAGATTTTGGGGTTTTTGGGTGTCTGGGAATGCAGCGATGGGGAGCTGGGCATTGAGATTTTGGGGTTTTTGGGGATCTGGGAGTGCAGTGATGGGGAGCTGGGCATTGAGAATTTGGGATTCTTGTGGGGTTTGGGGCATGGCAGCGATGAGCTGCGTTTTGGGGATCCCAGCGGTTCTGGGCACCCTCTGGAGCTGGTTTGGAGCTGGCTACCGAGGTGCCAGCTTCTGGGGGTACCCAGACCCCGCTGCCCCTCTCCCCCCACGCCCCCAGCGACCCCTCCCAGAGCGACCCCAGCACCAAGGACTTCTGGCTGAACATGGCAGCGCTGACCGGGCACCTGCAGAAGCAGGCGGAGCAGAGCCCGGCCGCCTCCTACTACAACGTGCCTCTGCTCAAGTACCAGGTGAGCCCCGCGGGGCATCCCCCCGCTGGGCACGGGAGGGTCTCGGTGCCCCCCTAAAGCCCCCGATGTGCCGCAGTTCTCGCGGCTGGGCCCCGGCTCGGCGCCGCTGCGGCTCTGCGTGCGCTGGGACTGCGCGCCCGGCGCCACGCGGGTCAGTGTGGAGTACGGCTACAACGCGGCCGCCCTGGCACTGCCCGTGCCCCTCGGCAACGTGCACGTCCTGCTGCCCGTGGAGGAGCCCCTGACCAACCTGCGGCTGCAGCCCGCCGCCAGCTGGTAACGGGAGCGGGAGAGAGCGGGGCTGGGCTGCGGCGGGGCGGTGGGGGATGAAGAGTTTGGGGTCCCAAACCTTCACAGGCTGGATGACACAGAGCTGGGAGCCCCAAACTCCCCCAGGGTGGGGGGGACACAGGACTGGGGGTCCCAAACTTGCCCACAGTTGGAGCACAGGAGTGGGGTCCTGAATCTCCTCAGGGTGGGAGAAGGAGACCCTGGACTGGGAAATGAGGACCCTGGACTGGGAAATGAGGACCCTGGACTGGGAAATGGGGACCCTGAACTCAGAAATGGGGACCTTGGATTGGGAAATGGGGATCCTGAACTGGGAAATGGGGACCTTGGATTGGGAAATGGGGACCTTGGATTGGGAAATGGGGATCCTGAACTGGGAAATGGGGACCTTGGATTGGGAAATGGGGATCCTGAACTGGGAAATGGGGACCTTGGATTGGGAAATGGGGATCCTGAACTGGGAAATGGGGACCTTGGATTGGGAAATGGGCACTCTGAACTGGGAAATGGGAACCCTGACGGGATAAGGAAGGCAGGATGTGGGGACGGGCAGCAAAGGCTGAATTTTGGGGGTGTGGGGGCTTGATGACACCCCCTTATCCCGGCAGGAACCTGGAGGAGAAGCGGCTGCTCTGGAAGCTCCTGGACGTCCCCGGTGCCCCGGGGCAGGGAGGTGAGGCCGGGCCCGCCCTGCTCGGGGGTCACGGGGCGGGGGCTCCGCGTCCCGACCCCCCCCAACCCCTGCGCTGTCCCCCCCAGGCTGTGGGCGGCTCTCGGCCAGCTGGGAGCCGCTGGGGGGTCCCAGTAAGCCCAGTCCCGTGGCCGCCCAGTTCAGCAGCGAGGGCAGCACCTTGTCGGGAGTGGAGGTGGAGCTGGCGGGCGCCGGGTACCGCATGTCGCTGGTCAAGAAGAGGTTTGCTACAGGTACGGCCCGGAGGGGAGACGGGGACGGGGCTGGGGGGTCCCTTCCCCACAGCCCTGGGGGGTGCGGGGTCCTCTCCCCATCCCCTGGGTCCTGGGGGAACAGGGGGTCCCTTCCTTGGGGTGCACGGGGTCCTTTCTCTGCTCTTTGGGGTGCTCGGGGTCCCTTCCCTGGGGTATTTAGGCTCATTTCTTTGCTTCTTGGGGTGCTCAGGGTTCCCTTTTCTGCTCTGTGGGGTTCATGGGGTCCTTTCCCTGTTTTTTGGGGTGCTCAGTGTTCATTCCCTGGGGTATTTAGGATCCTTTCCCTGCACTTTGGGGTGCTCAGGGGTTCCTTTTCTGCTCTGTGGGGTTCATGGGGTCCTTTTCCCTGCTTTTTGGGGTGATCGGGGTCCCTTCCCTGAGATATTTAGCGTCCTTTCCCTGTTCTTTTGGGTGCTTGAGGTCCTTTCCCTGAACTTTGGGGTGCTCAGGGTATTTAGGGTCCCTGGGGTATTTAGGGTCCTTTCCCTGTTCTTTGGGGTGCTTGAGGTTCTTTCCCTGCTCTTTGGGGTGCTCTGGGTTCCCTTTTTTGCTCTTTGGGGTTCATGGGGTCCTTTTCCTGCTCTTTGGGATGGTTAAGGTCCCTTCCCTTGGGTATTTAGCGTCCTTTTCTGCTCTGTGGGGTTCATGGGATCTGTTTCCTCATCCTTGAGGTGCTCGGGGTCCCTTCCCTGGGGTATTTAGGGTTCTTTCCCTGCAATTTGGGGTGTTCGGGGGTTCCTTTTCTGCTCTGTGGGGTTCATGGGATCTGTTTCCTGATCCTTGAGGTGCTCGGGGTCCCTTCCCTGGGGTATTTGGGATCCTTTCCGTGCACTTTGGGGTGCTCGGGGTCCCTTCCCTGGGGTATTTAGGATCCTTTCCCTGCTCTTTGGGGTGCTCGGGGTCCCTTCCCTGGGGTATTTAGGATCCTTTCCCTGCACTTTGGGGTGCTCAGGGTATTTAGGGTCCCTGGGGTATTTAGGGTCCTTTCCCTGCACTTTGGGGTGCTCGGGGTCCCTTCCCTGGGGTATTTAGGGTCCTTTCCCTGCTCTTTGGGGTGCCCGAGGTCACCAGCTCGGTGTGGCACCGAGCTCCGCCGCCGGGCCGTGCCCGTGCCCGGCCGGGGCCGTGCCCTCCCTCCTCTGTGCCCACCTTTCCCCCGCAGGGATTTACCTGGCGGGGTCCTGAGCGGCTCCCGGGCCCCCCCGGGCCCCCCCGGGCTTCTCCCGCCGTTGTGTGAATTGGAAACACTGGATGGAGGCGGGCTGGGGAGGGGGCGCCTCCTCCTCCTCCTCCTCCTCCTCCTCCTCCTCCTCCTCCTGTCCCCGCCCTGTCGCTGTCCCCGCGTCGCCTCCTGCTCCCCCCCGCCGCCCTCCCCTGTGCTGTGAAGGGAGCAGGAGCTGCTCTTTTATTAAACACTTTATTTTCTAACAAATTCCCCCCCGACGGCTGCTGCCTCCTTCCTGCCACGGCGCCAATCCCATAAATCCCGTATTCCCTTTAATCCCATATTCCCATACTTCCATATTCCCATAAATCCCATAAATCCCATATTCCCCTAAATCCCATATTCCCATAAATCCCCTAAGTCCCATATTCCCATAAATCCCCTAAGTCCCATATTCCCATAAATCCCATAAATCCCATATTCCCATACTTCCATATTCCCATAAATCCCATATTCCCATATTCCCTTAAATCCCATAAATCCCATATTCCCATAAATCCCATAAATCCTGTATTCCCATAATCCCATATTCCCATAAATCCCCTAAGTCCCATATTCCCTTAAATCCCATAAATCCCATATTCCCATAAATCCCATAAATCCTGTATTCCCATAATCCCATATTCCCTTAAATCCCATATTCCCATAAATCCCATAAATCCCATGTTCCCATAAATCCCATATTCCCATAAATCCCATATTCCCACATTCCCATCCCAATTCTGCCATGGAGGGGGAGCGCAAGGAAAAAAGAGGGAAAAGCCGAAGGGATGGCAGGGGGGCTGTGATGTGGGAAAGGGGAGCTGGGGGCTGTGTCCCCCCTCCGTGCCCCCTCAAAGCACAGGGAAGCATCACCACGGGCTGGGGGTCCCGGTGCCACTCTGGGGGGGCGCTACCCCCGAGTTTTGCTCCGCCCATCCCGCAGCGCCTCGATTTTGGGGGACAGCTCCCCAAAAGTGGGTCTGGCGCCGGGGGTGAAGGCCCAGCAGCTCATCATCAGCGCGTACACCTGGGGGGGGGACAAGGGACACGGCGGGGCCATCAGGGGAGGAGGGGCACCCCAGGGACCCCCCGGCAGCCCCGGGGCAGCGGTGTCACCTCCGAGGGACAGCCAGCGGGGGCCGGGAGTCGCCGGTTGTCCTTGAGGAGCTCCAGCAGGTGGCAGATGATCTGCGGCGGCCTCGCGGTGCCCATCATCCGCAGGAATTCCTGCGGGCACGGGGGACAGCCGTGAGCACCGGGACACCCGGGGGCGCCGGGACACCCGGGAGCACTGGGACATCTGTGAGCACCGGGACAGCCGTGAGCGCGGGGACACCCGGGAGCACGGGGACACCCAGGAGCTCTGGGACACCCGGGAGCACCGGGACACCCGTGAGCACCGGGACACCCGGGAGCGCCGGGACACCCGGGAGTGCCAGGACACCCGGGAGCGCCGGGACACTCGGGAGTGTCGGGACAGCCGGGAGCACCGGGATATCTGTGAGCACCGGGACACCCGGGAGCACTGGGACATCTGTGAGCACCGGGACAGCCGTGAGCGCGGGGACACCCGGGAGCACGGGGACACCCAGGAGCTCTGGGACACCCGGGAGCACCGGGACACCCGTGAGCACCGGGACACCCGGGAGCACCGGGACACCCGGGAGCTCTGGGACACCTGTGAGCTCCAGGACACCCAGAAGTGCCGGGAAACCCGGGAGCTCCGGGATATCTGTGAGCACCGGGACATCCGGGAGCACCGGGATACCCAGAAACTCTGGAACACCCGGGAGCACCGGGACGTCTGTGAGCACCGGGACACCCGGGAGCACCGGGACACCCAGAAACTCTGGAACACCTGGGAGCACCGGGACATATGTGAGCTCCAGGACACCCGGGAGCTCTGGGACACCTGTGAGCTCCAGGACACCCAGAAGTGCCGGGACACCCGGGAGCTCTGGGACACCAGGGAACTCTGGAACACCCGGGAGCACCGGGATATCGGGGAGCTCCGGGACTCCCGGGAGCATGGGCACACCCAGGAGCACCGGGACACACGAGAGCACTGGGATATCTGTGAGCTCCGGGACAGCCGGGAGCACCAGGACACCTGGGAACTCTGGGACAACCAGGAACACCGGGATATCAGGGAGCTCCGGGACACCCGGGAGCTCTGGGGCACCCGGGAACTCTGGGACACCCGGTAGCACTGGGACATCTGTGAGCTCCATGACACCCAGGAGCACGGGGACATCCGTGAGCATTGGGACACCAGGGAGCTCTGGGACACCAGGGAGCGTGGGGACATCCATGAGCTCTGGCAGAGCCGGGAGCACTGGGATATCCAGGAGTGCCAGGACATCTGTGAGCTCCAGGACACCCAGGAGCACCGGGACACCCGTCAGCTCCAGGAGCTCCTGTAAGCTCTGGGACACCTGGGAACACCGGGACATCCAGGAGCACTGGGAGCTCCAGGACACCCGGGGGCACCGTGAGGGCTGCGGGGAGCTGGTCCCAGAGGGAATGGCCCCTCCTTTCCAGGGAAACGTCACCTCCGAGGGGCTCTTGCTCTTGGAGCTGTAGGTGAAGAGCTCGTAGAGGAGCACCCCGAAGCTCCAGGTGTCGGAGGCGCAGGAGAAGATGTTGTCAGCCAGGGATTCCGGAGCGTACCTGCCCCGGGAAAAACGGGTTCTGAGCCCCGGGAAAAGGGGTCCTGAGCCCCGGGAAAAACGGGTTCTGAGCCCCGGGAAAAGGGGATCCTGAGCCCCGGGAAAAACGGGTTCTGAGCCCTGGGAAAAACGGGTTCTGAGCCCCGGGAAAAGGGGATCCTGAGCCCTGGGAAAAACGGGTTCTGAGCTCTGGGAAAAGGGGATCCTGAGTCCTCAGAAAAGCAGGTTCTGGGCCCCAGGAGAAGGTGATCCTGAGCCCTGGGAAAAGCAGGCTCTAAGCTCCAGGAAAAGAGGATTCTGAGCCCCAGGAAAAGTGGGTTCTGAGCCCCGGGAAAAGGGGATCCTGAGCCCCGGGAAAAACAGGTTCTGAGCCCCTGGAAAAGGGGATCCTGAACCCCAGGAAAAGGGGATCCTGAGTCCCCAGAAAAGCGGGTTTTGAGCTCCGGGAAAAGGGGATCCTGAGTCCTGGGAAAAACAGATTCTGAGCCCCTAGAAAAGGGGATCCTGAGCCCTGGATCCCGCTGGAATTCCAGCCCTCCCCGTGTGCCCCTCCTCACCAGAAAACGGGGCTCTGTCCGGGCTCCCGCACCACGTAGTAATCCTTGTCCTGCGGGAGCAGCTTGGCCAGCCCGAAGTCGCCGATCTTGACGTGGCTGTCGCTCTCCACCAGGATGTTCCTGCTGGCCAGGTCCCGGTGCACGCAGCGCTGCGCCCCCAGGTACTCCATGCCCTGCCGGGAGGCGGCTGCTGGAGGGCAGCGGGGACACGGCAGTGTCCCCAGGGCTGGGGAACCCCCGGGAGAGGGTCCCTGGGGGCTCATCCCGGCTGGAGCACAGCCCCAGGGGTGAGGGTGGCGCTGCTCCGGCCGGGATGCAGCTGCTGGCAGGGACAGGATCCTGCAGCGTCCCCAGGGCTGGACAGTGACCCTCGGGTGACCCGTGGCATTGCTCCGGCCAGGACAGAGCCGCTGGCAGGGACAGGACCCAGGGCTGGCCCACGACCCGTGGCTGACCCATGGCACGGCTCCAGCCCCATCCCGGGACAGCAGCAGCCCCGTTCCCCCCGTGCCTGCCCCGACCCCACCTTGCAGATCTGCCAGGCGTAGAGGAGCAGCGTCCTGTGCTCCAGGCGGGGCTGGTTCTTCTGCAGGAAATCCCGCAGGCAGCCGTTGGGCAGGAATTCCATCACCAGCCGCAGCCCGCGCATCCCTGCGGCCACATCCAGCGCCGGGATGGCCGGAGTCGGGATCGGGGATCCCTGCCCCGTTCCCAGCCCCGTTCCCTGCCCCATTCCCAGTGTTCCCAGCCCCATTTCCTGTCTATTCCCTGTCCATTATCTGCCCCATTCCCAGCCTCATTCCAGGCTCCATTCCCAGCCCATTCCCAGCCCCATTCCTCCCCCATTCCCAGCCCCATCCCTGACCCATTCCATGTTCATTCCCTGTTCATTCCCAGCCCCATTCCTGCCCCCCATTCCTCCCCCATTCCCAGCCCTATTCCTGCCTCATTCCCTGTTCATTCCCTGCCCTATTCCCTGTTCATTCCCAGCCCCATTCCAGGCTCCATTCCCAGCCTATTCACAGCCCCATTCCCAGCCCCATTTCTGCCCCACTCCAAGTTCCATTTCCAGCCCATTCCCTGCCACACTCCCCTCCCATTCCCAGCCCCATTCCTGTCCCATTCCCTGTTAATTCCCAGCCCATTCCCAGCTCCATTCCTGCCCCATTCCCAGCCCATTCCCTGCCACATTCCTGCCCCATTCCCAGCCCATTCCCTGCCCCATTCCTGCCCCATTCCCAGCTCACCCCGGCTGTAGCAAACGCCCCGGTACCGGACGATGAAGTCGTGCTGCAGCGAGTGCAGGATTTGGATCTCCCGCTCGAAATCCCGAATTTCCTTGGCCGAATCCTGCTGCAGCTTCTTCACTGCCACCAGCTCGCCCGTGCTGTCCCCCAGGGGGTCGTAGCGGCACAGTTCCACGCTCCCGAAATTCCCCTGGATGCAGGGAACTGGATGTTGGGGTGCCCCCCAATTCCCAGTGCCACATCCCCCCAAAATCCCCCCCACATAGAAGGGGATGCTCAGGAATTGTTTCTCAGCACAGCCAGGATGTCCCACACCCCAAATCCAGGAGGGAAGAGCAGCTGAGCTGAGTTTTGGGGTTCGGGTTTTCCTGGAATTGTTTCTCAGCACAGCCAGGACGTCCCACACCCCAAATCTGGGAAGGGAAGAGCAGCTGAGCTGAGTTTTGGGGTTCAGGGTCTCTCCTGGAATTGTTTCTCAGCACAGCCAGGACGTCCCACACCCCAAACCCGGGAAGGAAGGAAAGAGTGGCTGCACTGAGTTTTGGGGTCTCTCCTGTGCCCCCACCTTGCCCAGCAGCGAGATGTACTTGAGGTGCCGCTCC